AATAAATGAACAACAGAAAAACTGGAATGTGGAACTGAAACTTCCTGTAGTTACAGTATAGTTGAAAAGAAGAATGAAGAGGAGTTAGGACAGGGATGGAAATTACAATGGGATTTTCAGTTTCTCAAAGTAGTAGAAAAAGTTTAATCTAGAATAACTGAAAGTGTTATCTGCAGGCTGCAAAAAATGGCAGGTACAGTAGAATTAGACAACAATTGTTTGGTACCACGTAGCAGATGAAAAGGTACAGGTTAAAACTAAGTTCTCATTGAGCATGTTAAGACAAGAGATTACAGGTAGGTAGGAAAAATATAATTTGGGTAAAGTTGCGGAATACACTGATAACAAGGACACTTCCTTAGAGGGTAAGGCATGCTTTTGACAAATGGACAGGAGATGTTACAGACTGCAGAGGAAGAGAGTAAAGTTAACAGACTGTATGTTTACATAGATACTGAAATGAGGATTGTTGTTTTAGATTTTGTGAAATTCCTAGTGTTCAACTGTGTGTTGGATGCACATGAATTGAAGGATTGTGCAAACATAGCTGATGCTGATCCAGAGCCAGCATCTGAAGATATTTATATTTAGAGGAAATTTGTTTAAATACAGACTGATGTGCCAGGGAACTGGAAAAGCTGTTTTTTTAAGCCAGCAGTATAAAATAATTTATCCTCAGTGAGATCCTGCCATCCCATAGTGGGTTTAATTACTGTGTATGTGTATAATTACACAATTCCTTTAGTTTCATCCCTTTTCTAATCTCTTTATCCAGTACAGGGGAGCTGGAGTCTATCCAGGCAAACAACGGACACAAGGCAGAATACACCCAGAATACATCACAGGGCAGACAAACAGACAGAAACACAACACACACACACAGTCATACCAGGGCCAGTATTCCCATAAGCCAATTAACTAACCAGTATATAGGAACCTGTAGAGTACCTGGAGAAAACCCATATGAAATCAGAGAGATCATGCAAACTCCACACAAACTGTACCCCAGGAAATGAAACTGGGGCCCCAGCACTGCAGGATAGCAATGCTAACCACTTCACCACCATTAGAAATTAGAAATGGATTAATAGCTTAGTTATTTTCTAGTTCACAGATTTGCATGCGTAATTTAATTTTGAAAGCCACTGAGACATCTGGTACAACTGTTGTATTTATAAAAAAAAAAATTATAAAAAGCATGCTAAACACTGCCAACCTATTCCTTAGTTAATAAATTTAGTTATAAACAGTTAAGACTGTTATTAATTGTTTGTAGCAAAATATTTTAAAATATATTTTACCCAAATGTGTCTTTATTAATTTTATATTTTACTTATTTTCCAATACTTGGAATACAATACAATATGTACATTTAAACAATGACTCCTATTTCAAATATTGCACTAAGTTCGACATAACATTCAGCAATACAATCAAGAATAGTTTTGTGGTATTTGTTTTGATGACACTTTGCTAAAATGTATAAAAACCTAAAGGTGATTAAAATCTTTAATATTTCCACGTCATGTCATTAGGAAGTACAATAAGCTCCTGCTTTGTTTAACAATGGTTTAAAAAAAATATAATTGGTGAGAAAGTAGCTCTCCTTAATGATAATTAAAGGACTTAGAAGATCTGTGCCTTAAGCATTCTAGGCTGCAGACGGCTCATTCTGTATTACAGAGCTCCGCGCCTCCTCCCTCTCTCTGTGCTGCCTCTTCTCTGACACAGCGCAGTGGACGGGGAGCTATTTTCCCAGTCTCTGATAGGAAAAACAGACCTACTGATCTGTTTCGTACCATAGGAAAATAGTAGAATATGTTTTTTTTTCTTTGTGTTTATGAAATTCAAGTGTTTTAAACGTTTAATTAAAAAGTAACTTACAACTTACTTAGTTTCCAAGCTGATAACGAGGAAGAAAAAACACATAGTTTTAGTGCACATTTTATAGCTTTTAAAGTCATGCAATTCCTAAGCTAGGCAGGAACGCGTCATTGTTTCTTTTTTTTTTAAATAAGATTTTTTTTTAAATAGAAAAAATCAGTCGCCCATGGTGCCTCTAGTTAAACTGAAGAGATTCTTGTGTGAAGGTGTCAGTGTGTTTTGACTGTTACATGTGGGAGTATGTATAGAGAGTCGTGTAAAAAGTGTGCAGTGCTCCTGTCTTTTTGTCTGCAGGATGAGGGACTGTGAACTAACAGAGAGATGTTGTGAAGATCTGGCCTCTGCTCTTCAGTCTCAACACTCCAGTCTGAGAGAGCTGGATCTGAGTCACAATAACCTGGGGGATTCAGGAGTGAAACTGCTGTCTGCAACTCTGAGGGATCCCAACTGTAAGTTAGCAACACTGAGGTAAGTGAAAACTGGTGATATCTTTGTATTTTATTGTTTTATGTACAGTAGATATGCTGAGACACACAACATTCCTTTTTTCACATGCATTAGAAAAGAAATACATAGGAAGTACAGAGCACAAATGTAGTGGGGGATCTAGAAAGACGAAAAACTGCTACGCAATTTTATGAACAAGTTCTTGTTTGTGGCTTCTTTGTTAATATCTCATTACTGAGAGACTCGACTTGCAATCTTTCCCATTTTGCCCATCTTTTTTACACATATGTATATGTTGTGGTTTATAATTCTGTGGGTAATATTTTTCATGAATTCAATTTACTATACACAAGTGAATATGTGAAATATAAGACTGTTAACAATATTTATTGTACATACAAACACACGAAGACAGCACGGGGAAAAGTAACATGAGCGGTGCCAAAGAAATGAAAATATTAAAACCAAACTAATCTAGCTAATATAGTGCGGTCTAACCTATCTAACCCAAATGCCCTAACTAACCTACACTAACTAGCAAAACCTAAATACAAAGGTGGCACTCGCCCCTAACCTAGTGTGTCTAGACAGTCAAAACCAAACCTACGTGTGTGCAAAGTGTATGACACGTGATGTTCCTACCCGTTCACTTTTTCCCCCAGGACACACAGAGTCACAGTTAACAACAAATGCATATCAGCAGCAAAATGACAGGTGACTAATATTTACAGTGATGGGGAAAACAGGTAACCCACTGACATACAAAATAACTAGCATGGTAATAGTGATAATTAGCGAAAAACCAAGAAAATGAAGAGAAGTAAGCAAAAAGCTGGGGGGAGGGGGGTCATAACTTCTTCTGTTTTTAAACTTGTGGTCGTGGTTCCAATTGGCCAGGGGCAAGGTGGTATCGGCATCACTAATGAAGAATGGCAGAAAGATGTACCAGTGACGAACTGGGTACCTGTACAGGGAAAGGGAAGGGTAGAGAGAGACGGAAAGAGAAAGAAACAAATACTATAATAATAATAATTGCTTAAACTTATATAGTGCTTTTCTGGACACTCCACTCAAAGTACTTTAAAGGTAATGGGGACTCCCCTCCACCACCACAAATGTGCAGCATCCACCTGGATGATGCGACAGCAGCCATAGTGCGCCAAAACGCTCACCCACATTGAAGAACAGAGTAATGAAACCAATTCATAGATGGGGATTATTAGGAGGCCATGATTGGTAAGGGCAAGTGGGAAATTTGGCCAGGACACCAGGGCTACACCCCTACTCTTCTCGAGAAGAACCCTTGGATTTTTAATGACCACAGAGAGTCAGGACCTCGGTTTTACGTCTCATCTGTAGGACAGGGCCTGTTTACAGTATAGTGTCCCCCTCACTATACTGGGGCATTAGGACCCACACAGACCACAGGGTGAGCGCCCCCTGCTGACCCCACTAACACCTCTTCCAGCAGCAACCTTAGTTTTTCCCAGAAGGTCTCCCATCCAGGTACTGACCAGGCTCATACCTGCTTTGCTTTAAGGGGGTTGCCAGTTGTAAATTGCAGAGTGATACGGCTGCTGCAGAGTGGTATGGCAGCTACACACACAAATAGACACACAAACACATACAGGGATGTAACAGTCATTGTCTGTTTGGTGTATTTCTTGTTTAATCACTATCACCTTTGTCAGTTTTAGTTTTTAAAGTACTCTTTCATCTTGATTGGACTATGATTAGCATTTATATTGTATAATATAATTTTATGGTTCAATTCCATCTGCTATTTTACTTATCATTTTTTAGTATGTTTGTTCTATTTCATTTTTGTTTAGTTCATTATCAGCAGCCTTGCCCTTTATAACCTGGGGAAATTAGATTTGATGAAGCCTTTTAATTTATTTCCTCATCTTTTTCCCAAACCGCTTCCATCTACAACTATATTACACCACAGCATTAACATCATAAACTTCCTGAAATATAACCTCAGTTAAATTTACAGAAATTACATATTGTAACGCATATGGCCACCATTGTAGGTTGTTCGAGCCGGCTTACCAGGGTGGTGACATCACCGCCCTTCCTTGTGAATAGAAGGGACCGCAGCTTTCCCTTCAGCTCAAGTGGCTGGGTCCCTGTTGAGTTATGCCAGAGGCCTGAGTTCAAGTCCCCAGCGGTGGGGGGCCGACCAGAGGCGGCAGTGTTGAGGGCGCATACCCACGTGATCCTGAGAATGCTACAATATTTTAGATTATTAAACATGCAGGACTGTCCCTGAAACACATCTAATACAGGTACGTTTCCTATACCTAGAGGCTCAGATCTCAGTGTTGAGTGACTTGACATATTTATTGTGAATAAACTCATGACTGTAGTTATATCCAAATGCAAACATCAGTCTGCTTATCTGCCTAACTTTACTACACTACATCTGCCCCTGTAGGAGCCACATACTCCTGGCTTACAGCTACAGATGCCAGATAACCAACAGTAGTGAGAGTGCTGCTAACCGACCCGTCCAAAGCCTTTGATCGAGTGGATCTTTCTAAGTTGCTGCAACATCTGGTTGATATTAAATTGTGTCCCAGGCTACTCGCCTGGTTACATAGCAGTCTCATTGGAAGAAAGCAGGAAGTTACAGCTAATGACTCTTTCAGCCTCTGGTCAGAGGTAATGTTTGTTGTGCCCCATGGAGGTGGGGTTCTTCCATATCTATTCCTCCTCCAGATGTCCACCCAAAAGACTGTCCTGAATGACACTCTGGATGTTGATTATGACACTCTGGACAACATGATGTTGGGCTGTCCCAGGCTGTCCCATTGATTCAAGGTGATATAGTATGTTCATGTACATGGGGGCTAAGCAGCAAGACAACTGGGTCACATCCAATAACACACTGCTGAATGGATAAATGTCCCAAGACAAAATGTCAGCTTTTGCAAAACATGCTTTCCAACTTTCAAAAAGACCCATAACAGTTTGATCTGCACCCTGCAGACAGATCATTCATTTGTATAATAATGGCAGCTAGAAACATTATTTTTGTAACCCATTTTATATCATGCAGTTCAGGTAGTTTTTACCTTTTTTAACAAAATTATTTTGATTGCATGAAGGTCTGCCTGCCAAATCCTTGCCAAGGCTTAGCCAATGAACACTTGGTATGATAATAATAATTGCTTACACTTATTATTGCTCTTTTCTGGACACTCCACTCAAAGCTCTTTGATGCACTGGCAGCCGGCAGCCATAGTGCACCAGTACAGTCCCCATATGCCAGCACTCAGTGGTGAGGAGAGCAGAGTGATGAAGCCAGCTCAGAGATGGGGATTATTAGGAGGCCATGGTTGGTAAAGGCCAAAGGACACTGGGGTAACACCCCTGCTCTTTTTAAGAAATGCCCTGGGATTTTTAGTTACTACAGACAGTCAGGACATCAGTTTCACATCTCATCCAAAGGATGGTGCCTGTTTTACAGTATAGTGTCCCAGTCACTATACTTGACCATTAGGATCCACACAGACTTCAGGGTGAGCGCCACCTATTGTCCTCACTAGCACCTCTTCCAGCAGCAGCCTTGGTTTTTCCCAGGAGTCTCCCCTCCAGGAACTGACCAGGTTCACACCTGCTGAGTTACAGTGGACTGCAAGCGGTGAGCTGCAGGGTGATGTGGCTGCTGGTATAGAAGAATGTCCATGTACACACTGTCCATCTCCTGAAGAACAGTTTGAAACTGAGTCAAGGGAGATCAAGCAATAAGAAAATTCACTATTCTTTACTGTAATCATCACATTATTCAGCTAGTAATTCAAAATCTTGGCACAGACATTTTCCTGATGAGTAATACAATGAAAATCTACCGTGGGGTGGACAATGTGATCCGCGATGATCTTAACGAGTCTCTTCAGTTTTCCTACCATGGCAGTCGTCAAAGAAAATATTTCCTTCAAATCATTCCCTCTTTCCTCAAAATGATTAATAACCTTCTGAGCTGTATCTTCAGCTCTTCTCAAATTCCATCTCAGTTCCAGTATCTTACAAGAATTGATAATGCTGTTTCATTGTTTATATCCACATACTCATCAAGTGCAACACAAAATACTTTTACTCTTTTAACGCCAATGTCTGTTGTTTGTTAATGTTTTCAGCCATTTCACTTATTTGTCTCTTAATTGATCTAGCAGACACAGGTAAACCCTTAATTCTAGAAATTACCATCTCCTTGTTAGGCAATCTATTTAAACATCAGGACATATAAGAAATGCTCTATTATATTTGCCCCATCTGTAAATGATTTTCCATGTTTCACAACACTTTGTCTGACTTTGTAATTTAAATTTAATGTTTTCTGTACCTTGCTCTGGCCTGTTTGATAGATTCAACCTTGTCCAACTCATCCTTGAAGTTTTTTACCTCTTTTGTCTGAAAATGTATCTGGAAATTTGATGTTTGACAAACGATGCTCTCACATCCTAGAGCACAAACAATATGGTCGTTATGTTGAACAAATCCATATTCTTCTCTCCAAATAAGCAAACATCTGACTTTGATTTCTTCTTGCAACTGCCATTTTGTGCAAAATGTTTGCATTTACACTTGAGTCTGATGTTATCAGTGGCACAGATTGTGAGCTTTCGTTAAAACAATTTCCTATCTTCATTACAAATAATGCAATAAATAAACCAAGTGAATCATTTTTTTTCTGTGGCAAAGAACTTTCATTAGGATATATGTTGCAGAGAATTACAGTCAAGCACAGATTTGATTGTTTTTTAACTTAATATCTTTGTTGCCCATTAGGGTTTTATTACACATGCCATTTTCTTCGCAAATGCTGTTAAAAATCCTTTTGTGTGCCAGTAATGTAATGCGTGCTGTAGGTCAACCACTGGTTCAGGGGCTTTTATTTAATAGACTGTTAAAACTGTGAATGTTTCAATATGCATTAGCTCATAAAATGTTTCATATTAACTCATTATTGGTTTTATTTGTACCTTAAATATTTTCCTATATTAAAGGGGGACTGTAATGCTATTTTTACATTTCAATGTTATAATGAATCTGCAATGATGAGTACATTTCAAACACATCAAAGCTACCAAGTACACAATATCATGTGCCATAACATAACCTCCAATTTATATTGCAAAAGAGATGAAGTTTCAATGTATACATAGTGCCACATTGCCATCATTTTCTGTGATTCAGAATGAGGCAACAGAATTTCTGATGACGCAAAACTGTCCCTTTTACATTGTAAACATGCTTTAGAGTAAGCAAATTTTGCTACTATATTAATTTTAAATATTTTCACAAAACATGCACATACAAGGCAACGTGTTTTTTTTTAAATTCTTTAAGTATTGCAATAAAGAACAATCTGTCGTCCAACTAAATACGCTCATATTTATTTTCAAGTTCTGGCTTCTTGTTCGGTTACAGCGGCTAGTGAGCAGGAAGGGCCAGTTGTATATCACAAGTGTCACGCCCTCCACTCACCGCATTCTCATACGTAAACGCACCCGCACTTATTACACTCCAGCCCCGAGCACTTCGGCTAAACGACACCGTCCCTCCAGATCAGCCAACCACGACACTTCTTCAATCAACGCAACTTCCTCTTCGCACAATACTTAAACCCTTCTGAACCTTCTGCTCTTTGCCCAACATTGGTTGTACTTTTGTTCACCAGCCTTGCCTTTGTTACTCTTCTGACTCTATGCTGCCTACCTCGGAACTCTCGCCTTGACTTCGCCTTCTGTCTCGCCTTACGGACTTGGAAACCCCACTTGTTGTTCTCCTCTTCGACCTTTAGATTTGCCTACTCGACTTCGACCTCAGTCTAGCCCCACTCTCTGGCCTTTTTCCTCACTGACCTCGGAACCTGACTTGGACTTCGCCTCTCGTCTTGCTCCTTAGGTACCGCATAGGGACCATCCTCCCCTTTACCTAACT